GGCCATGTTCGGTCTGTCCCTGCTGGCTGCCCCAGTTTACCCCACAGCTGAGGGCTTACACTAGAAAGTCACCCCTTCCACCAGCTGCCTCATTTCCCCAACCCATTACTCCCTCTAATAAAACGAGTGCAGTTAAACAACAGGAGAGAAGAAAAACTGTCTCACAAATACACAGCCAGCACTGCTCCTGAGATAAATGTTGAAGAGCCTGTGGGCTCCTGGGGAATACAAACCTTTTAATTTCACCCTCTCTGAGCCCTGTAGGTGAGATGGTGACTCATCCAGAGCACCCAAGGCAGACACCAGTACCCTGGGCGCCTTGCTCACCCACCCAGTTAAGAAATCAGAGGCTGACACCCAGGCAGGGAGCTTCCATTCCCTATCCCATTTAACAGTTTCTTGTTAAATGCTTCAAGAAAAATCAACACAGGAGACGGGAGAGCATGACAGAGATGCAGTAGGGACTGAGTATTTGTTCTACAATAGGAGTTTCACTTAATGAAGTGAGCCTGACGACACAGAATTCGTTGGTGACATTTTGACAACCAACTTGCCTCATGCTTTGACAATACGGTTTAGTTCGTGAAAATTCAGACTTCCAACATTCAAGGAAAACTTCTATCCTATGGAGCAAAGTGTGAGCAAGTATCTGGCATATCCAAAAACGGAAATCTGGCCGAGAGCCCTCAGCAAAAGGCAATTAATAAATTATTCACTTATGTACATCTCCATGCTTCCGGTGTTTAAAAGGAGGAGTCTCGATTGTGGCATCCAGGTCCTTTGTGGAAACAGTCTCTGAGTTTAATCCGTGGGTGTAAACTGCAAGCTTTTTGAAACTCAGCGTGTTTTTATGGAAAGCAAGACAGACTTTAAACCTCTCATTTAAACAGGTAGATCTGAGAACACAAGTGCCAAACATTTTTCTATTATGTATCTAGAGCCAAAGGGACACATTTTCTGATTTCCCTTTGTGCAGCTAGAGGCAGAATTTATACAGATAAAAGATTGGCCTTAGTTGGTGTGGCTCATTTGGTTGAGGGTCATCCTGTGCACCAGGAGGTCACTGGTTTGATTCCTGATCAGGGCACAGGCCCAGGTTTCAGGTGTGGTCTCCAGTCTGGGTGTATACTGGAAGCAATCAATCATGTTTCTCTTTCACATCGATGTTTCTCTCTCTCTCCCTCTCCCCCCCTTCTTTTTAAATTGTATATATATGTGTACACGTATATATAAACACACACACACACACACACACACACACACACACACACACACACACACAGGACCTTCCAGCTATGTGGTGACTTGCCAGAGGAAAGCATTTTCTCATGTCTTCACCTTGTGAAGAAGGGATTTCAGGTAAGAAAACAAAGGCCCCAAAAAGTTAAGGAACTCACTGCTATCACAACGGCAATGCTCATACTCAAATCCAGATTTTGTCCGCTTTTTCTCCTTTCTGTTCTGACGAGGTGTTTTACTGTGTGTGCACACACAGACCTATCTTTATTTTGGGATTAAAATCAATGGTATGTTTATTCGGTCGCACCACAGGAAATTGCCGATGTTTGAGTGCTTCTGACCCATTGAAATGGCAACTTCATAGAGTTGGACCCAATGCATCACTGAAATGCTGGGCCCTGAGCTAATTTGGGTACAGGTGGCCTCTGGAACAACCTTTTTAAAAAATATATATATTTTATTGATTTTTTACAGAGAGGAAGAGAGAGGGATCGAGAGTTAGAAACATCGATGAGAAAGAATCATCGATAAGCTGCCTCTTGCACCAGGGATGTGCCTGCAACCAAGGTACATGCCCTTGACCGGAATCGAACCTGGGACCTTTCAGTCTGCAGGCCGATGCTCTATCCACTGAGCCAAACCGGTTTCGTCTGGAACAACCGTTTTAAATGAGAAAATGAGGTGTGTGTTTTTTCACTGTCAAATAAGCACCACACAACGTTCTGGGGAGAGGCCACTGCGTGTCATGCTCTGGGGACTGTGAAGCTCCCCGTGGGCTGGGCCGAGCTGTGTCCTTCTGGAAGGGCAACGGGCTCTGGGTCCCGGCTGCTCATCACGGCCACAGGCACGGGCTCCCGGCCAGAGACAAGCATGAACCGAAACAAAACTGCTTTCACGCCTCCCTCCTTAACCCCGCGCCCCAGCCCTTGGGCTCAGGGTGGTCTGCGCTCAGCGTGGGAACTCCCAGCCATCAGGGCTGTTTCCCAGGCCATGGGGAAGGGGCAGGGGCCGGCATCTTTATGAACTTCTGTCTGTCTCTTCTCTCCCGTGTTCTCTTAGTGGCACTTGTTCATCCCCTTTCACACAGACATATCTTGGGGGGGGGGAGGGGGGAAAGGAGAGGGTGGTTAGCATTTCCTTCCCCGACAGAAGGAATTGGGGCAGGAGGAGGGGGGAGTGGATGAGGCGGGACTCAGAGGAAAAGCTGTGTCTGGGGAAAGCGGTGGCACTGATACAGCATGGCCCATTTAAGAGGGGCCGGTGACACGGCACCGTGCTCCAGGTTCATAGCAGGCCAAGCCATGTGTGCATGTGTGCACGCATGTTTGTGCACACACAAACACACTCACACAGGTTTTCCCAAGCCTGCTGTAGTTCTCCAAGTGCTCACTTGCAGTTGCCAAAATTCAGGCAAGTAGCAAGTAGAGTCAGTGTATGTCTGTGTGTCCCTCTTCTCCTCTCTCTTCCTTTCTTTCTTCTTCCCTCTCCCACTCTTTCTCAATGTGCAAAGGGGACTTCAGTGAAAAGTACAGGGATGGTGCTGAGGAGCGGGGCCAGTGAGAGTGGCAATGACAAAGATGAAAGGGGAGAATTGGGAAACTCCAAAAACGATTGTTCATTTCAAAAACTGAGTATTCACACCTGCCATGTAGTGGAGATGGTGCTGGAGGAGGGGGACAAGGGCAGGAGGACCCCAAAGAGAAGCTATGCCTTTTCTGGACACCGTTGGTTTGTTTGTTCATTTGTTCATTCATTCATTCATTCATTCATCCATTCCTCATTCAGCAAAATTAGTAGCACTATCTACCATGTGTCCAGCTCCACCCCAGGCACCGGGGAAACAGATGGGTAAGATCTGGGACCTGCCCGGAGGCTCCCAGGCCAGCAGGGGCATTAGCCAGGCCAGGCCAAGCACTGTCAGTGACGTCTCCTTCAGCCTCCAAACTTCAGACTCCTTCCAGGACAAGGGCACAGTCTTCCATGACCTCCGCTGAAACTATCACAGGAATTCTTATTTCTACGCTGGTGTCTTTTCTGAGGATCAGGGAATTAGGTTAACGCTTATACTGAGCGGTTATTTTCACTTTAACCATTTACTTTTATTTTCTTTAAAGTATATTTTTATTGATTTCAGAGAGGAAGGGCGAGGGAGAGAGAGCTAGAAACATCAATGATGAGAGAGATTCACTGATTGGCTGCCTCCTGTATAGCCCCTGCTGGGGATCGAGCCCGAAACTCAGGCATGTGCCCTTGACCAGAATCGAACCCGGGATCCTTCAGTCCAAAGGCCTATGCTCTATTCTCTGAGCCAAACCAGCTAGTGCTCATTTTATCCCATATCATCCCATTTCACAGATGTAGAAACTGAGGCAGTGAAGTCATATGCCCAAGTCACTATTTAGGAAGTGAGTGGGATTCAGATCTAGGCTGCCTGGCTCCATAGCCCACGCTGTTAACCATTAAACAATATGACAATTCAGGAAAAGGCAAAGCAGAGAGTGGGAAATGGAATGGCAATGTTCTACCACTGTGACAGGCGGACAGAGAGCACACTTGAATGGTTTTCAGGAGATGTGGCTTCAAGCCCAGATTCTGCCACAAAGCTGCCTTTTTTTGTTTTAATCCTCACCTGAGGATTTTTTTTCCCCTTAAAAGCTATATTTTTATTGACTTCAGAGAGGGAGAGGGAGGAGAGGGAGAAAACCAATGATGAAAGAGAATAATTTATTGGTTGCCTCTGCACACCACACACTGGGGATTCAGCCTGCAACCTGGGCATGTGCCTTGACTGGGAATTAAAGCATGACCTCCAGGTTCATAGGTCAAAGCTCAACCACTGAGCCACGAGGTCAGGGTGAGGATATTTTTAAAAATATATATATATATATTTTATTGATTTTGTACAGAGAGGAAGGGAGAGAGATACAGAGCTAGAAACATCGATGAGATAGAGTCATCGATCAGCTGCCTCTTGCACACCCCCCACTGGGGATGTGCCCGCAACCAAGGTACATGCCCTTGACCGGAATCGAACCCGGGACCCCTCAGTCCCCAAGCCGACGCTCTATCCATTGAGCCAAACCGGTCCCGGCGTGAGGATATTTTTTTCCATTCCTTTTCCGAGAGAGTGAAAGGGAGGGATGAAGTGGAGGTGGAGGGGGGGAGGAGGGAAGGGAGAGGGAAACATTGATGTGAGAGAGGTACAGAGATCGGCTGCCTCCCACTCATGCCTTGACCTAGGGTGGGGAGCGAATCCACAACCAAGGTACATGCCCTTGACTTGGAACTGAACCTGCAACCCACCGGTGCCCAGACTGATCCTCTAACCACTTAGGCACACAGCCAGGACTCAGAGCCTTCTTTTTAATTTGAGAATTTTGTTGTGATGACCTCTAAGATCCCTTTATTTTTAGCAATCTATGACAAACAACGAATTGCAATGAGGATGTGTGCTAGAGGTCAAGAATTTTAATGCTTTTTAACGTCACCGAGTGGGAAAGAGGCAGAAGAGGGAGACGGCCGGTTCCTAGGCAAAGCCATAACCGGAGTAGATATGAATCGTACACTGAGGGGCCCCGTTTGCAATAGGCCTGCAGAGGGCAAGGAGTGTCCGGGGACTTTGCTACCAGCCAGGTCTGCCTGGCACTTGATGAGTCTGGGCTGAGGCCCGGATGAGGATCCCAAACCCGGCCCCACCCCGTTCACACCTGGGCCTGGAGACAGGTACGGGGAGGCCACAGAAGGCATGCTGGGGTGCTCACCATCACGATGTTGGCCAGATGGGCAGAGACAAGCGCGTACACCCCTCCAGAGGAGCCCACGACGGGCGCGGTCATGTCAGCCACAGACACCGCCAAGGATCCTGGGGCAGAGAGAGAGCGAGAATTCAAGAACGCTGGTGGCGGCTCCTCACCCTACTTCAGACCCTCAGATGTCTCAGCCTTGGGGGTAAGACCCCAAGCAAAGGGCTCATTCTCTCCTCCCTCGATCCCATGTAACCTTGTAGCTCCCTAATGATTAACTTAGGGCTGAAAGAACCATTTGGTTCCCACTTTCCCTATGTTGAGCCAGGGAAACAGAGGCTCAACAAAGGAAAGCGAACATCTGCCTCTCAATCCAGCCTCTGCGCTCTGATGTGCCATCTCAGGGTTCTGGAGCAACAACAAAAACGACAGGGGTATTCCGAGCTGGTTTGCTCAGTGGACAGAGCGTCAGCCTGCAGACTGAAGGGCACATGCCCGGGTTGTGGGCCCAATTCCCGGGGGGGAGGAGGAGGGCATGCAGGAGGCAGCTGATCCGTGATTCTCTCTCTTCATTGATGTTTCTAATTCTCTCTCCCTCTCCAAAATCAATAAAAAAATATATTTTTTAAAAAATTGCAGAGGTAGTGACTGCAGAAACAGGTACCCACCTACGGAGCACCGTTTGCCAAACACTGGCCAAGCATTTTGCATACATTCATTCTCCCCTTGAGCCCAAAGCCTGCCCTTTAAGAAAGGTGCGGGTAGCCTCATGGCTCACCTGGTGGGAAGAACCGGAACCTGCATTTGAGTCCAGGTCTTGCCCTTGACAGTGGCCACTCCCCACAGTGGTTCAGAACTTGACCTCCACTCTCTACCATCACGCTCTCTGCTCAATGGCATCTAGAAACCTGCTTAGCTCACCTCCAACCTCCCTCCAGCCGAGGATATCACAGAAGGCCAACAAGTTTCCATAGCAAACGGGGCATCTTTGGAGGGGAAAAAAATGCCCTTGAGAAGTCCCCAGGAAGAGAGAGATGAGGTCACAGCCTCTGGGGGAAAGGCAGGCATGGACTCTTGGTCTGGGGGATGACTAACTTGTCCTGGGAGGAAAGCTGAGAGAGAGGAGAGCTGGGAAATGTATTGTTCTGGTTTCATTTCAGTGTGATCAATGCTTTGGCTTCGAGGGAAGGACATGGAGCCTAAAAATAACTGGGAGGTAGAGCCCAGGGCTCGGAGGATGAGCGGTAGCTGGCCTGGGAACGTGTGCAGAAATCACCACTGGAAAATGCCTGCAGGCTCATGAGCCAATTAGCTGGTGCCAGAGCGGAGAGAGGAGGGACGGGCAGAAGGCCAACTTCTGCAGGTTCCATACGGGGTGGAGGGCCCGCTGCTTAGGAGGTGGCTGAGCCCAGGCTGAACTGGGAACTGGAGCACCTGACACCTTGGGCTCGGAGAGCCCCTGTAACATCATCTCTTTCTCCCCAGGTACCCGCTCACCCCCTCAAGGCTCCCAGGCTCACTGAGATCCTTCAGAGAAGGGATCCCCACCACTGGTTCTGGGTCTCAAGGGGGATGTAATTTCCCAGGAAAACACAAACTATAAACCGAGAACTCCCAAGTCCTTCTGCCCTCCCAGGGCAGCTATAAACCTCTCCTCTCCTCTTTCATGCCTTCCCTCAGGCTTTAATGAGGTATTGATCTATTGTCAGATAACTCCCCTCCCCCCCTTCCCCCCACTGCATAGCCACAGGGTCAACCTTACAGAACAGGGAAGAAAAATCTCAGGGTGGCAAACAGACAGGCAGCAGGATCTGCATGACAAAGGATTCCCACGCTCTCCTGCCGGGCTGGCTGTCAAGGCTGCATTGCAGGGCAGCGAGGGCTGGCTGTCCAAGCCACCGGCTCTTCAGCTTGCTCCTCATTAATTACCGCGGGGACAGAGAGGGCCTCCCCGGGCTGGCTGGCCTCTTCCCTCAGCACAAGTCCCGCCCGCTCCTGCTCCCTCGGCCTCCCCAGTGTGGTCCATCAGAGACAGAGACATCAGCAGGAGGGCCCCAGGCAGCCCCTCACTGACCTTTCCCTCACCCTACCCCAGGGCCAGGGGTCATCCTGGGATGGTGGAAGGAGCATGGAGTGGGGGTGTGACTGGCTGACAGGTGTGACCGGGACACAGCCCCGGAATTCTTTGGGCTTCGTTTTTCACACCACAAATATGTGTTGAAATGAGGAGGTCTCGGGCTTTCCAACTTTTGAGCAGTGAAAACCCTTTTTTCAAAGGAAACCTTACCCACATCCTACACCAAGGAGCAGAGCTCAGATGGCAGCTGAAGGGGGGGTGGGGCCTGGGGAGCAAAGTTTGACGCCCACTGGAGGGGCCTTAAAAGTCCCTTTCAGACGAGAAATTCAGTAATTTGAGTCTCAGACCCTGGTTGTAGTGTATTTTTTAAAAAATATATATGTAATTAATTTCAGAGGAATGAAGAAAGGAAGAGGGAGACAGGGAGAGGGAGAGGGGGAGAGAGAGGGAGAGGGACAGAGAGAGAAAGAGAGAGAGAGAGCGCGTGCGTGAGAGAGCGAGAGAGATCAATGATGAGAGAGAATCACTGATGAGCTGCCCCCCCCTGCACATCCCACACTGGGGATCGAGCCCACAACCCGGGCATGTGCCCTGACCAGGAATCAAACCATGAGCTCCTGGTTCATAGGCTGCTGCTCAAACACTGAGCCACTCCAACTGGGAGGTTCTAGCATCTTGTAGGTAACAATCTGGACCCACTCTCCCTCCCTTTGTGGCACTGACTTCCCTCCAGGGACGGTGATTAGCCCTGGACAGAAAGGACTAGGAGAGACCAAATTCAAACAGGGGCATGCTGCATATCAGCACAGAACCAGAGCCACCTCAGGGCAGGAAGCCTGGGCAAGGCGGGATTCCACCAAGGAACACATGGTTCAATAAGGCCAGTATTAATTCCATGGAGGTCATTAATTCTACGGGGGCACGGGATGGGGAGAGTGTGGCAAGCCATACCTGGGCACAGCAGCAGACAAAAGTCTAGTCGGGGCTGTGAATTCCATCCTTCCCAACCCCCCAAATTCTGGGTCCATGCCAGTACACAGATAAGTTGGTGACTCTGCCATAATGCACAGCTTGAATCATATTAGCAAGGAAAATTTAAAGCAGGTGTTCTCCCACTTCTCCCTTGGCCCTAAAATAATCCAAATAAAAATGGGCAGAACACTTCCCTTTAAATAATGTAACCTTATTTATGTATGTCCTCTTTCATTTATTTCACAAGTATTCGTTGCTTAACATGTGCCAATCCCTGTGTTGGGCTCTGGGGATGCACACGTGATTTTATAATCTATATAATCTATACTAAAAGCTCGGTGGAACATTGGAGATATTAGTTTCTTTCTTTCTTTCTTTTTTTTTTTTTTAATATACTTCATTGATTTTTTTACAGAGAGGAAGGGAGAGGGATAGAGAGTTAGAAACATCAATGAGAGAAGAACATTGATCAGCTGCCTCCTGCACACCCCCTACTGGGGATGTGCCCGCAACCAAGGTACATGCCCTTGACTGGAATCAAACTTGGGACCCTTCAGTCCACAGGCCGACACTCTATCCACTGAGCCAAACAGGTTAGGGCAAGGAGATACTAGGTTCTAACGTGTTTAAAGGGTTGGCCATTTAATTGTTAACCAGAGTGAAATTACACATGGGCCTCCAGCACAGGCTGAAAGCACAGGGCAGAGAAGAATCTACCCCAGGTTCTTAGCTGAGCAAATTGCACAAGTCACTCCACGGTTCTGAAGTGCCTGCCACAAGGGGGTGGGAGATATAGGGCCCCCTCTTTGGATGGTTGTGATGGTTACAGCAAAGAGCACGTGTGAACCCTTCAGCGCATGCCCGCGGTACCAGACGTGCTCAGCAGAGGTAAGCTCTCCTTGTAACAGACTGTGCCGGCCGTGGATTTGGGATGTGTTCATTGGGCAGGAAAGAAAGAGCAGGGCCCGAGGTCTGTGAAGACCTCCCCTGGATCCTGACAACTAAATTATCGGCACAAAGAAGGCCTGCCTTGTGGTTCTTGTAAGATGACCCTGGTTTTGAGCACAGCTTTGGGGGTTAGACCACGTGGGTGGGAGCCCAGCTCTGCCACTGCCTACCGTGTCTTCCTGGGTAAGTCACTTAGGCTTCCTAAGCCTCGGCTTCCGGGTCCGTAACAGGCGAAGAGTCACAGTACCTGCCTCACGGAGCTTTTGTGAGGATTGAATAAAATATGGCCTGAGGGGCAGGCACCTGATGTACTGGCTGTCCAATCAGGGTCTAGCTGTCTGTGAACGGGTGGCCTTTCTGAGCGGAGAGGAAGGGAGGGGTGCAAGCAGATCAGTCAACTCCGTCTAGGAGATCAATAGCATGACGTGCTGTGACGGGAGTGCCCTTGAGCCTGAGCAATGGCTCACACAGTGCAGCGCACATCACCGCTTGGTGACAGCCCCGCATCCCCTGTAGTTAGCCGGCGAGCTCCCCCTCTGTCTGCGCGCCCTCCCGCTCTGCACGGCATTGCTGCGAAGACACCTGCACTGTCTCCCCGCTGTGCATCGTCTGATCTGGGTGGGGCCTGAGTCATCTGGAATCATATTTCTGTCTTCTGGGTTACTGGCTCTCCCATCTCCTCGACTCCTGACTGCGAGTGTCTGAGTGTCTTTCCTGTTCCTCACCATTAACCATCTGGGTCTCTGAGCACTAGGTCTGGAAAGTGTGGCTATAAATCCCCAGATGTCAAGCGACTGGGGGCGGGAGTCGGGGGGGGGGGGTGCGTGGGTGGCTGATTGAGTCTAGCACACTGAGATGCTCATTAGACCTTCGCACAAGGATGTGGGAGGTGCCAGATTCTGGGACAAGCGGGCGTGGGTGCTGTCCAAGGTACCCACGCTTTAACCTTAGCCCACAGAGGAGGAAAGGAGCGGGCACTAGCCCGCCATCCAGGCTGAGGGTTCAGAAACCAGCAGACCGGCCCTGCCCCGGCAGGCGTGAGACCCTTCCCCCTTCGATGCCTGAAGCCACTTGGGTTATTCTCGGGATCCCTGTCTGCCTGTTGTTTACAAGCCTGACGGTGCCCCACTCTCCTGGTGACAAGCTTACTGCTCCTCAGGAAGGATTAAGGTCTTACTTAAACACACACACACACAAAGCTCCCTTGGGCTCAGCTGTCAAGGTGAAGAGCTGAGGCAGCAAATCTTGTTATAAAAAATCCGGCAATGGAGTTGGAAACATCACGGGAGAGATTCCTCTGTTTGGAAGCCTGGCTGGTGCAGATTCTTCCTGCACAGCCTGCTCTGCTCTCCCCAGCTCACCCCGGCCCCCCTCGCCCCTCACCACGGAGGGAAGGGGGCGCTCAGGCTGCCCTGTGCTCAAGGCCATGATCACATGCCAGGTGAGCCAAGTCAGCTGGGGCCCAGACTCCTCCGGCTGGGCTGGCATGGATACTTATCCCCTTTCAGGCCAGATTGACTCTCCTGTCAGTGGTGAGTCAATCAAAGGGACAGTGGCTAGCTGGGCAGAGGCAAGATCTCCCTTTGGGGACAGGGATTGGCTTGGCCAGGGAGGCACCTGGCTTCCCGCAGCCTTAGATGCCCCTCCAGGGCTCTCACTGTATGTGCCCTGGCACAATTTATGTAACACTGTCACTCCATGTGTCACCTCGCTCCACCATCCTAACGCCCTGCAGGCAGATCTTATTAGTTCACGGTTAATGCTTAATGGGGCCAGAGAGGTGAAGGAATGTCCCCAAGCTCACACAGCTGCAACACGGTGCTCCACATCCTGTGCTCTCCTCTCCTTTGCCATCACATGCCTCCTTCTCTGGGAGGCAGTCTCCTTTCCAGATTCCCCAAGGAAGTGGGGGGATTTGCCTAGAGAACAAGCCTAATAGTCAGGAGCTTTGGTGATGAGGGTCCTGGGCCTCCTGAGAGCCTGGGGCTTGCCTAGCCTCATGGGGAGTCAGTCTCAGCCACCCCGGGGACATTTCTCCTATAGACAGAGGGCCCCCCTGCTTACCTGCCACTACACCAGCCACGTAGACTAGCCCGATGCGGGTTGCTCCATGCACCATCTCCAAGGGCACCCCCACCAGGAGCTGCAGCACCACATTGAGGCCCAGGTGTTCTATTCTGTATGGAGAGACCACACGCCATTCATGAATCCAGTCATCCATCCGTTTATTTGATAAACACAGTGTTGCCAAGGTGCTGGGGGTCCAGTGGTGAGCAAGACCCTCTACCTGCCTTTGAGGAACTCATGGTCTGGGACAGAGTGGGCAGGAATCACAAGAGAGACAGATCGTCTTGCAAAGAGCATTCCTTCCACACCTTTCCCGCCACCAGAGACGAGAACACGTGCAGGGCCTGAGCAGTAACTGTCAATGTCTGCACTGGCCACAGTGAGAGGCTGTGGTCAAGACCCAGCAACTCCACTGGCTGACACGTGAAAAGCCAAAGCTCAGAGAGGGGCACTGACCAGCTTAGGGTCAGGCTGATAGCACAACCCAGATCTCTGATGTGCAGGCCCTGCTCCGTTCACCAGGTCCCAAGGGCAGCTGGCCTGCTATTGTATCTGTAAGAGCTACTGATATTTAAAGAGACAGATGTGGCCCGCCCAGCATGGTTCAGTGGTTGAGCGTCGACCTATAAACCAGGAGGCCACAGTTTGATTCCCAGTCAGGGCACATGCCTGGGTTTCGGACTCGATCCCCAGTGTGGGGCGTGCAGGAGGCAGCCAATCCATGATTCTCTCTCATTATTGATGTTTCTCTCTCTTCCTCTTCCTTCCTCTCTGAAATCAATAAAAATACATTAAAAATTTTATTGATTTTTTACAGAGAGGAAGGGAGAGGGATAGAGAGTTAGAAACATCAATGAGATGAGAGAGAAACATCGATCAGCTGCCTCCTGTACACCTCTTACTGGGGATGTGGCTGCAACCAAGGTACATGCCTTCAATTGGGGACCCTTGAGTCTGCAGGCAGATGCTCTATCCACTGAACCAAACCAGTTAGGGCAATAAAAATATATTTAAAAAAATGAAAATAGAGAGATGTTTTCAAAACAAGTGCAAGTGTTAGAGATGTGTCTCAGAGCTTACTCCTTCAGTTGTCACTTCACATCTCACGGGTGAGACCTCTCCCTTCTGGTGTGCAGGGACCCATTCTGCCTGAAACTCTCAGGGTTGGGGTTTCTTGCCCTGAGAAGGCCTTCTTTTTTTTACGCTATCATGCGACCAGATCTTGTTGCTAAATGGTGTGCAGCTGAGTGCATGTTACTAGAAAATATCGTAGCATTACTATTATTACATTGGTGTGTGCTTTCAAGTTTACAAAGCACTTTCACATCCATTATCTCATATAAACTGAGCAGCTGGACAGCTCCCTGGGGAAGCATAAGTTATAGGGTAACAGAGCATATAACCAGGGGTCTGGATGCTGGCCTGACCGGCAGGGCCCGGCTACCTGCTGATCCAGGAGAGTGCCTGTGAGGTTGCACATGACTCAGGTCAGGCTCTGTCCCCAATTCCCACCATCCCTGCAATCCTCTGGCTCCCCATCCCAACACCCCAACTGTGCCAGCCAAAGGATCCTAGATTAGAAATGCCAGAAACATTTACTGAGAAGGAGCTGGGTGGTGGCCTCAGACTCATAGGGAGATCTCAGAGGTTTTCTGCTCGCGTCTCTTTGGTTTATAGCCTAGAACTTGAGACTAGAAGAGGCTAGGTGAGGGGAAATCACAGCTCCTGCCTCCCAATCCAACCCCCTTCTTCTCAACCACAGTGATTTCTTTTTTAAAAAGTGGAGAGATGCCCAAACCGGTTTGGCTCAGTGAATAGAGCGTCGGCCTGCGGACTGAAAGGTCCCAGGTTCAATTCCGGTCAAGGGCATGTACTTTGCTTAAGGGCACATCCCCAGTGGGAGGTGTGCAGGAGGCAGCTGGTCAATGTTTCTCTTTCATTGATGTTTCTAACTCTCTATCCCTCTCCCTTCCTCTCTATAAAAAAATTAATAAAATGTATTTTTTTTAAAAAGGGAGGGAGAGAGAGAGAGAGAGAGAGAGAGAGAGAGAGAGAGAGCATCAATGATAAGAAAGTCATTGATCAGCTGTTTCTTGAATGCCCCACACTGGGGATCAAGCCTGCAACCCGGGCATGTGCCCTGACCAAGAATCAAACAGTTGACCTTCTGGTTCATAGGCCAAGGCTCAACTCCTGAGCCATGCCAGCCAAACTCAACCACTGTGACTTCTGAATTCACTGGCCTAGAGTGTGTCCCTGAATGGTGTGTCACCCTGTGGGCTTTCCCTAGATGCTAGTCAGCTCTTCCTATCTCCTGTCTACTGTGGCCCCAGCCAGGAGCCCCTCCCTCAAGGTCACAGACCTGGAGAACCCTCCCAGGGCTCTTCCTGACAGGCGTAGCTCCAGGAGAAGCAACGGCCAGAGAAAGGCTCGAGGCCACCCCTGTGCCTCCGGGGAGAAAGTCTCTGCTCTGGCCACTCTGGCCTTTCAGCTCTGGGAGGCAAAGAATGGACAAGGAGGCCTTAGAGACATTGTCCATTCTCCCTCCTTACCTCAGGGATCAGGGAAGGCCAGAGGGCAGTCCTGCAAACAAGGCAGATAGTCTCAACCCACGTGCACCTGCGGGATTGGGCAGCCTGGCCAGGGAAGTCCCTGCTTCCTGTTGCCTCCTAATCTTGACTGAGAAGACTGATACATGACATGCCTCTCTCCCTCTGCTCCTTAGCCCTGTGAGATCAAAGCCTGGGACAACAGGCAAGGCAAACAGCCCGGGGCACAGTCCCCTCTGGCTCAGCGTGGAGGCATCCACCAGAACCATCACCCAAGCCCTCCCCAGCAGGTGCATCCAATTAGGGGTTGGCGTTTGTGCCATTTATAGGCTCAACAGGAAGAAAGGCTCACAGCGGGGCTCCCTCTTGGCCACTGTAGGTCTTTCTGCCAAGGAATCGGCACGATGGCACCTCTGGGGGCCAGAGTGATCCTCTTCCCATGTTCCACCCAGGGACAGGCACCCCCAGGGCTGCCCCAGACTAACAGCGAGCCCCTGTGCTTCTCCCCTGGAGAGGCTGTAGAAGACACCACTGAGGTCGGGGGTCCAGGGACTCCGCTTTCCCAACTCAGCTCTTCTACTACGTAAAAATGGTCGCCAGCCACGGCAGTGCTTTTCAAGGGAACTGGGCCTGGGTAGTCACCTGGCCTGATCCTGGGTAAGAGGCACCGGTGAGAACTGACTGCACCCCAGCCCTAAACAAGGCGGCAAGGCCCTGAAAACAGAACAGTAAGTATTGCCAGATTCCTCCAGAAGACCCTCACCATGTAGGAGAGCACTTTGGGAAGAAGGCAGCTTCAAGAAATCTGACCTTTATTTCACTGCTGGGGGCACTCACACACAACAGTTTATGGACAATGGACCTGGTAGCTGACCATTATTTCCCTCTTTGCTTTGGCCACTAGGAAGCTCAGAAGTTTATAACCTACCTCTAGCAAGTACACAGACTCACATGCTTATGGATGTTTGTGCTGATTTCACTGTGGGGTGTGAGCACTTTACTCCCTTTATTTTTCCCTTTCCCAAACACTCCCAATAACTCATATTTTGGTATGAGATGAGTTTCAAGAAGTCACTTCAAATCCTGTTTCCAGGGAGACAAACTAAAAAATATATATTTCCATCCATGCTATTGGGGCTACTTGTTTTTTCATAGGGACTCTTTTTTTTTTTTTTTTTTTTTTTAATCTTTGGCTCACATTTATTTTTCTTGGTATACATTTAAAAAATGATTTATTGATTTTTTTTTTCCAGAGAGGGCTAAAGAGTAAGAAACATCAATCAACTGCCTCCTGCACACCCCATACTGGGGATGTACCCACAACCAAGGTATGTGCCCTTGACCAGAATCGACCTTTCAGTCCAAAGGCCAACACTCTAGCCACTGAGCTAAACCGGTTAGGGCTCCATCGGGACTCTTGGTAGAGGGGAAGAAGACAGGTACTCACCCCGCGTGCATGAAGATGTACGTCAGGTAGCGCCACGCCTGGGCTCGGAGCTGTGGGTGGTACACCAGTGCGTTCTGCAGGTACCGTGGGTGGGTCACCTGCAGCACAAACTGATCCAGCGACACTCCATTGTAAAGGAAAAAGGCCACCTGTGTGAAAGCACAGGACGGAAGGGCCCATTACTAAGTACAAAACTGCCAGGAACCCCTTGTGCTAACATCCGGAATCCTTGCTGGAAGTTGTCGTCTTTCCTTCTCAGAGAACGAGGGGCTCCTCCGGGGCCAGTGCTCAGCCTCATCTTCACCCATCGCTACGCCTCTGTTGGATTATTTTGCGTTAGCTATTCACAACATGGTCATATGATCTGTGCCCACACTTCCTTGGGGCTAAGTAGGAAGGGTTTGGAGGATTTTAAACTTTAACCCCAATAAAAGAACATACCCATTTAGGGGATAAGGCAATGCCACATAAGTTGATTTAAAAAAAAACCCAAAACAACCACCTATGGTAAAATACATAGAAACACAAGCTATCATCTAAATCAGTTGTAAGTGTGCAACTCGGTGGCATAAAGTTCATTTAAATTGTTAGGCAACCATCACCACCACAGAAGTCTTTTCACTTGCAACACCAAAACTCTATAGCCATGCAATGTTAGCTTTCCATTCTCCTTCCCCATCTCTGGCAACCACCATTGTACTTTCCGTCTCTATGACTTCGGTTACTCTAGGTAACTCGTCTTCTGCTTATTTCACTTAGTATAATGTCACCAAGGTTCACCCATGTTGTTGATTAGGCCAAAATGTCCTTCCTTTTCTAAGCATGAATAACATTCCCATTGTATGTATAAGCCACGTTTTGTTTACTAAAACAAAACGTGGCTTATTGATTTTTTACAGAGAGGAAGAGAGAGGGATAGAGAGTCAGAAACACCGATGAGAGAGAATCATTGATCAGCTGCCTCCTGCACACCTCCCACTGGGGATGTGCCCGCAAGCAAGGTACATGCCCTTGACCGGAATTGAACCCGGGACCCTTCAGTCCGCAGGCCGACACTCTATCCACTGAGCCAAACCGGTTTCGGCACCATTCATCTGTTGATGAACATTTGGGTTGCTTCACTGCTGTGAATAATGCTGTTATGATCATGGGTGTACAAATATCTCCTTGAGTCCCTGCTTTCAATTTATTTTGGATCTATGCACAGAAGTGGAATTGCTGGATCATGTGGTAATTCTACGTTTAATTTTCTGAGTAATCGCCATACTATTTCCCATAGAGCTGCACCATTTTCTATTTCCGCCAACAGGGCACAAGGGTCCCAATCTCTCTGCATCCTCACCACCACCCCACATGAGCAGACTATGCAAATGACTAAAGCACACTAATGTAAGCCCTGAAAGGTAAACTACTTTTTTCTGGAACTCTTTCTAAAATGCATCATTCATGTCCCTATGTTCTTAATCAGGTATGTGCATAATCTCTCAGAGATGCCTCAGGTACTGAGCTGGGCACCGGGAGTGATGTCTTCTCCAGCAATTGATAGGGCTTCCCTCCTACAACGAAATGGCCCCAAATTCTTGTGTTTGAAACTCAGGTCTAGACCTAGCCAGTTTTGCTCAGTGGATAGAGTGTCAGCCTGCAGACCAAAGGGTCCTGGGTTTGATTCCTCACTGGCGCTGGTCGGGGCTCATGCAGGAGGCAACCAATCGATGTCTCTCACATTTATGTTTCTCTCTGTCTTTCCCTCTCTCTTCCACTCTCCCTAAAAATAGATGGACAAATATTCTCAGGTGAGGATTAATAAAAAACAAATGAACAACAACACCCCCTCAGGTTTACTTTTAAATTGATTTCAGAGAGAGAAAGGGAGACAGAGAGAGGAACAGAAACATCAATGTGAGAGAATCATTGATCAGGTGCCTCCTGCACACCCCTTATTATGGATTGAGCCCACAACCTGGACATGTGCCCTTGACTGGAATAGAACCTGGGACCCTTCAGTCCCCAGGCCGACCCTCTATCCACTGAGCCAAACCAGCCAGGTCAGGCCCTTACTTTTTATTGCTGGTTAATAGTGGGTCCCTGCTATTTTCTCTATTATGGAATCAGAAAACTGGGTATCTAGAACCTTATTTTAAAACAAAAAGCCTTGGGCTTTTGTACAAGGACTTTGAAACAGTTATTTCAACATTTTTTTCTAGGATGGTGGTTTGAGTTTATATAGCTGAGGCTTACGGAAATTTGAAACCAATCTGGACCCAAAATCTGGCTTCTCTGGATAACCTTGGACAGACGACTTGAATTTTCTTGTTCCTGATGTCCTGACCTCAAGAAATGGGGATAGGAATGCCTACACTTGCAGGGTAGTGATGAGCTAAAATACAGGGGCCCCGCCGGGTGCCTGGCATGGGATTCGGGAAGGCAGCCGTAATTAGCATCGGGTTAGGGCTTCCTGGGTGGAGCCTGGACTGGCTCGGGCTGGATTCCCCTGGGCTCTCTGGGGAGCTGTTCCGTCCACCTAACAGGATGCGGGCGGCCTGGCAACAAATACAGCTTCCAAGCCAGTTCGTTATTATTGCTCCTCAAATAGAAGTTAATAAATAGACCAACACCGTAAGCATTTGGAAGAGTCCAAGCATATCTCAGAAAAATTGCCATTTCAACGTGAACTTGGAAGAAGCCTTGGGCCTGCAGACCAGTTATTCTCATTTAGGGGAGGGGGGGGAAGAATGCCATGAAGCTTAACAACCCTGCCGTCTGATCAGGAACTTTGCAAGAACATATGCAGGGGTGGTAATGAGGCCCGTGGCTCTGGGAGAGAAACCTGGGAAGGTTATAAAACGCCCAAGGGGAGCCGAGCATCCGTTTAGGAGTGGAGGGGCCCACGGGTTCTTAGGCGGAACGGCCCACAGAATGCAGAGTTCCTCACGCGTGGGCCCTGATTCAGAAAGGGGTACCACTGGATTCTGTTGATATCGAAGCAGGAGACTCTTAGAATAACAATGGGTCTGGATGATTCCCTGAGGGGAGAATGTTCTTTCAAAACATGTGAAGTCCACATTTACCTGTTCAGAAACACTCCCTCCCATATGCACTTGTGGGAGGCTTTTGTGTTCCATTCTCTGGCTAGGGGGGGGAGGGGGGCTATGGGAGAAGGAGGGCTGGCCTGCTTATCCCTGCTTCCCAGGCAGAGGATGGAGTGGGGGGGGGGGGTTTGCAAATGACCTGTCCACATTACTCACTCAGGGAGGAACTAAAATAAATTGGTTTTAGTGAGTTAGCCTGACTAACTCCCCCATTGTTTTTTTTGTTACTGTTTAGGTGGGGTGTCCCATGGGGATTTTGCTGCAGTGACTATTGCCTGAAGTAAGAATCTTTGGGATATCTTTGGGGTCCAGGAGAGAGGACAACACTGCCTGGCCTGTACTGGGGCTGGACTTGCCATGACAACTGCCACTGGCTCCTCCCTCGGCCATCGCTCTTTTGGCAGAGAAGACGCTGCCCTGCCCCTCACGCTCTCGGACGCCCTCTTGCCCTGGCTGTGCCGAGGCCGCCGGCCCTGCCCCACCCTGGTCCTTGCCTCCAGCAGGGTGATGGTGATCATGAACCAGGGCGGCGGGCAGCAGGTGTAGCTGTCGTAGTACCACTTCCGGTCGATCTCCCGGGGCAGGGTCTCGTAGGCCACGTGGCGGATGAGGCGCTGGGAGAGGTTCAGCCCTTTCTCCTCCAGCAGGGCCTTGCTGCAGAGCCGGCGGTTCCCCTGCAGGATGGCCTGGCGGAAGCTGTTGGACCGCTTGTTGCTCATCTGCACAGGAAAGGGAGGGGGGGGGGAAGGAAAAGAGGGGGGCAGGGTCAGAACCAGGATCTCGGGAGCCCCGACCCATTTTCCAGACAGCACAATCCTTAGACTTAACCAGGCCTAGATCCCACCTTCTTATTGTTCTACAATAGCTCACCAGAAGCAATATTCACTGAGCTCTCACACACTCAGGGCTGTTCTAAGCACTACATAATTTGTTGGTTCATTTGCTACCACCAGTCTACCGGTTACATAAGGCCTATGGCTACCCCCATTTTGCTCGATGTGGAAACCAAAGCACAGAGAGTTTTAAGGACTATCCAGTTCAAACCCCGTAAGCCTCCTGCGCCTGTATTCATCTACTCACAGTACCTTCCTTCCGTCCACCCATCCATCACAATTCCCTGAGCAACTACTACATGTCAGGCACATTGCCAGGCACAGGGGATTGAGTGGTGCTCGATGAGTAACTAGCAATCACAGTTCAGAGTCAAGGCTGCTGCAAGAGCACACGGGAGGGAGCCCAACCTGGTCTCGAGGTGGTCAGGGAGTCCTTCCTGGAGGAGGCAGTATCTGAGTGAGAGCTGGAGAGTGAGCAGGACTCAGCATCCTCACAAATGTTAGCGTGGGAAGGGTTGGGCAGTCCTGGCTGACTTTCCCAGAACCCAGAGCTGTGCCTGTGGAAGGCCACCACTCCTGAGTTCCTTCAAGTGACTGGCCACAGAACCCTGCCTCGGTGCTGACCCTGCCTTGGCAGCCTGAGGCTGCCCGACACAGCAGAGCCGTGGCTGTTCACCCAGCAGTCAGCCTGGCTCCCAGAGATCAGAGCCGCCACGGGGCCTCCGTCGCCTCCCATCTGCCCTCCACGACCACATTCTAGACCTTGACTATGGGGAGATGGCCTAGAGACTGAGTCCTCCCAACCCCAGAGCCACAGTGCCACCTGGGTGGCTGACCCACAGAAGCTGGGGTGGGGTTATCAGCGTATTCCTGGGACAGGGGGCCCAGCGGTGGGCAAGAGGCTAAACCCGGAGGCAGGAGGCCAGAGAGGGCTGGCCAGGAGCACCGGGCAGACCAAGGCACAGGGGTTTGGAGTCCTGTCGGGGGGAAGGTAGCTGCGGGGAGGATCTGCATTCAGACCAAATGGGATGAGCCTCCCTCTGCAGCCTTTCCCCTCCTGGATTCTGCTGCCTCTCACCTTTAAAATCTGGCTGAAGCTCTAGCCAGTTTGGCTCAGTGGATAGAGCATCAGCCTGCAGACTCAAAGGTCCCGGGTTTGATTCCGGTCAAGGGCATGTGCCTTAGTGGCATGTGCCTTGGTCCATGTGCCTTGGTGGTGGGCACATCCCCAGTGGGGGGTGTGCAGGAGGCAGCTGATCGATGTTTCTCTCTCATCGATGTTTCTCTCCCTCTCCTCTCCCTTCCTCTCTGTGAAAAATCAATAATATATATATTTTAAATATATTTTATTGATTTTTTATAGAGAGGAAAGAGCGGGATAGAGAGTCAGAAATATTGATGAAAGAGAAACATCGATCAGCTGCCTCTTGCACACCCCCTACTGGGGATGTGCCTGCAACCAAGTACATGCCCTTGACCGGAATCAAACCCGGGACCTTTCAGTCCCCAGGCCGACGCTCTATCCACTGAGCCAAACGGGTTTTGGCAATAAAAAATATAAAAAAAATAAAATAAAATAAAATCTGGCTTAAAGCCCCAGCAGGCCTTCCCAAAGGAAGCCCTTCCAATGATTCCCTCTTCTCCTCCGCTCCACACCGACAAAGCTTGGGTCTGTCTGGTCCTTCCTCCGGGCTCAGGAGTTCTTTACTTGCAGGCAGGGCTTGGTGCTCAGGCACACAGTAAGCCCAAGACAGGATCCCAACATGAGGTATTTTGTAGCCACACTTACCACCCTCTTCTAATCTCTGAGTGTGAATATGCACACTGGCGTGCCCTGCATGCACACTCACAAACACACCCGCAGTCACCCCCTAATGACCTGTGTGGGGTCGGGCTCAGCATTGAGGACAGAAGCACGGTGAGCACATACTCACCACTCACCTGCACGCTTGGTGTGCCTAGCACTGTGTTGGGCGCAGGAGAAACCATGGTCTTGGGCCTCATGGAACTTATAAGGAGAGACAGGTGTATAAACAGCAGCAAAAGAGGGTGTCATCTTCGTTATTTGGTGCCTAGGGTTATCCCCACGCCATAAAGATGGGGACCAGAGCTTGGAGAGTAATTTCTCAGAGACCCATCGTTAGGAACTCAGAGTCAGGATTCACATCCAGATCTGCCTGCCTCTCGAAGCCAGCTAATTGGCACTTTCCTGCCAAGTAGATAGGGATCCTCTCCCTCCAGGTGGATGCACCCCTTCCAGGAACAGAGCCCATGCCAGATTCCAGTCCCCACTCCCGCCTCTGCCAGGCATCCCGTACAGAACACAACCTGCAGGCCCTCACGTGACAACCTTGGCCTCTCTGCTGTAACGTCATGTGGTCTGTGCTAGAAGAGAAGTCTGGCGCCCTGGCCGGGTAGGTTACTTGGTTGGAGCATCGTCCCCATAAGCTAAGGTTGAGGGTTCAATCCCCAGACAGGCCACATACAAGAATCAACCAATGAATGCATAGATACGTGGAACAGCAGGTCCATGTTTCTCTCTCATCAATCAATCAATCAATCAATCAAGAAAGACCTGGTTGCCCTAACCGGTTTGGCTCAGTGAACAGAGCTTCAGCCTATAGACTGAAAGGTCCCAGGTTCGATTCTGGTCAAGGGCACATCCCTAGTAGGAGGTGTGCAGGAGGCAGCTGATGGATGTTTCTCTCTCATCGATGTTTCTAACTCTCTATCCCTTTCCCTTCCTCTCTGTAAAAAAAATCAATAAAATATATTTTTTTAAAAAAGAGAGAGAGGGAGAAAGAGACCTGGCAAAGCATTGCGGGGCTTGGGACGAGGAAGGGCTCACGAAGGAGCAGAGTTGACCTGCTGGAAGGATACTACAGACAACGAAGTCTTCCAGATATTTCACCTTGTTGAATGCTTGCAACGACCCCGAAGGAGGTAAAGTCCAGGCCCAGAAGATCTTTCCCACTGAGTGGCACGGCCAGAGCCAGAAGAGGGACCCAGGTCTGCCTGACTCCAGGCTCTGAGCCCCCTGCTCTCCCCAGGGCTTCCCTGCTGATGACCTCCTCGTAGTCCTGGTCCCCAGGGCAGCCCTGCTCACGTGAATCCAGGCTCCAGCTGGCCGCTCCAGCTCCGAACTGACAGAAATCCCCACAGCGACAAGTCCCCTGCAGCTGGGAGTTCACAGAGGACCCCACGGGCCCTTGCTGAAGAGAAGCACCTGCCGGGCCCAGCGGGCCCTCCCGCTGCCCTGGCCGGAGCAGGGGCTGCAGCAGACGTGCTTGCGCTGGGCGGCGGAGGAGCCTGTGCCGGCTCAAGCCCGTGGCCTGGTCTCTGGTGGCCCAGCTGGACTCAGTCCCAAGGGTCACCGCCCCGGCGGCCCCTCCCCCTGTAGCTCAGCTCTGACCCCTGCCCTCTACAAGGCCTGCTCCCTGGGTCCATTCTGAACAGCAGGAGAACCCCAAAGCCCGAGTGCTGCTCCCTGAAACCACTGGGCAAAGGCAGGACCTCTGCCGAGAGGCAAGTCAAGCAAGTCCGAAGCCGGGTACCCACATCGAGAGCCCACCTGGCACAAGACTGGCTCCCCCATCACTGACACCAGCGGGTGACAGAGGACACTGTCTCACCCCTCCATGCGTGACAGGAGAGAGGTGACTGTCCCCACCCATTTCAATAGGGAAACCAAGGCCAGACTCCAGCCTTGGATTCATCCTGATGGTTCATGTAGAGCCTACTGATAGTCCAACCATCCCGTGGCAGGTAACCCGCTTCCTGCTTAATCCCACTGAACCCCATTCCAATCTCACCCCAGTAGTAGCAGAGCAGTGACCCGCAGTGAGGAGGGAGTCCTTACTCTAAGTCAGAGCAGTGGGCAGGATTCACGGGCTCCCTGTCCCCAGTCCCCCCAACAAGCCAGGGTGTCTGCCAGCAGGTCTGATGAGCTCCTGTGCCCCATTGTTCCTGGAGAGCTCTGGCCTGACCCTCCCTACACCTGCTCCCCAGCTCCTCTCCTGCCAACAACCACCTCCTGCCTCCCACTCCCAGCACTTGGTTTCGGTGGCATGGAGCCCACGTCCAGCCCCGGAGGCGGGCCCTGATGGTTGGAGTCAGTCAACACATCCCCACTGACCCAGTCTGGGCCCGTGGAAGGGAGGAAATAAATCCCTTGTGTGGGAGCTACCACCAGGAGTCTCTCTCCTCTCCTGCATGGTGAGGCTGAGGGTGTGAGGGCTGGAACGGTGGCAGCCACTTCGCTGCCACAACGGGAGGGGTTGGAATTGCCAGCGGCTTCTCAGAGGATGAGAAGGCGGAGCTGAGAGGCAAAGAGAAACCAGGTCCTCGGCGATACCCGCCTGAAGCCTGGACTCTTTCAAGGCTCTGGGCCAAGAGATCCCTTTACTTGTCCAAAAGGGTCGGCTAAACCACAACCCCTGGACAGGCCCCTCCCAACGGCAAGGGCCCCAGAGCGCTCACCAGGTTGGCAAAGTCCTGGTAGCAGATCTGCCCATCGGCGTGGCTGTCGGCCAGGGCCAGGAGCACCTCCCGTTTGTGCGGGTCCAGCTGGGCGCTGTGGCTCTCCAGGAGGCTGCGGAACTTGCCGGAGCTGATGTAGCCGGTGTTCCCGGGGTCACACTACAGGAGAAGCACAGACAAGCCAGGGGGAGGGGCGTGTGAGTGGGCTCTCGCCCCCATCTTCATCAACATGAGGCCAGGGTAGTGCTGGGATGTCTCCCAGGCCCCCGAGGGAAACATCCAAATAAAGCGTGGACAGTCACGTAAAATCCTGGAAGGCCCTGGAGACCTTCGAGGTCCATGAACCCAAGCGTCTGGTGTGTGGATAAGGAATCTGAGGCTCAGAGAGGTTAAATCTCCTTCTTTCTGCCTTACGTCTGACTCTAGGCAAGAGGAAAGCAGGAATGAAAAGGAGACGAGCAGAGGAAGAGGAGGAACTTCAGGGGCCTGGGCCAGAAGGACTCCCGTGGGGAATGCTGGAGGCCTGGGAGCAGGGAGCACAGCCTGCCAACCCTGCGTAAGGCTGCTGGCTCTTTCGGTGTCAAACCCTCCCCGCCCTTCCTCCCCCTCTTCTTCCCCCCCACACACAGGCCAGAGCAGGGCTCCCCAAAGACCCTGTGCTCTCTATGCTGTGTGTGTTTGTTGGCATCACCCTTTTGCCCTCTGTAGCTTTGCACACAGGGATCCCTCCGCCCAGGATTCCTTTCTCCCTCATCTCCCTGAGAGCCTTCGCCTCACCCTTCCCAGCTCACTGGACGTCCCCTCTCCATACAGGCTCCTCTTAGACACGCCTGCCCCTCGGACAGACCTCCAGCCCCCGCCTGCACAGCTCTGTAATCGTCTACTTTTCAACTCCTTACTGGTCGCCCCACGGCAGTGTCACCACAGATCCCCTTGCTTAGCATGGAGCCGGAGGAGGCACGCAATAAAGCTTTGTTCAGTGAACGCACAGGGGAGCCCCGGATGAAGAGGTGGGTGCTAATTTTCCAAGGACGGTCTCATCAGTTCAGTTAGAAAAGGATTTTATTCATCTCTCCTGGAGAAACCCACAACCTTTTTGCCCCTCTTCCACAGCCCCCCTTTCCTCGAAGAACCCATCCAGTGTCCCCCCAGACCCCCTCCCCCCAGCACCCACCCTGCTAGGAACTGAGGCCAAGCCTGCTGAGAGCTTGCCTGCTCACAAGCACTTCCCCACACGAGCTCACTGCATCCTGGAGATGCTGCATGGGTTACTGAGGTTGTTGAAGGCAATCAGACTCTGCGATGTGTGTGTGTGGAGAGGGGGGGGGGGACCCAGAAGACCAGATCCATGTTTCCCCCTTTTCTTTTCTTTCTTCTTCTTCTTCTTCTTTTTTTTTAAAAAAATATATTTTATTGATTTTGTACAGAAAGGGAGAGAGATAGAAAGCTAGAAACATTGATGAGAGAGAGTCATCGATCAGCTGCCTCTTGCACACCCCCTACTGGGGATATGCCCACAACCAAGGTACATGCCCTTGACCGGAATCGAACCCTGGTCCCTTCAGTCCCCAAGCCGACGCTCTATCCACTGAGCCAAACCGGTCTCGGCCACATTTCCCCCTTTTCTAGATAAGGTCAATGGAGACCATCTTAGGGAGGCTGGTTCTCAGGGCAGCATTTCTCAGGCGATCCAGGAGGATCAGCCAAGGGCCACAGACATGGGCTAGTTCAGTCCTCCCAGAACTCAGCGAGAGGACCTGCCTGAGGAGGCCTACCTAACAGCGTGGGTCCCCACCCTCAGCCCCGAACACCAGCTTTCAGAGCTGACACCAAAGTGGTTCACACGATAGAGCATGTCAGAAAACTCCGCTATCCCAGCCCCGTAAAGACCGTTAAGAATAAAAATATCTAGCCGAAACCGGTTTGGTTCAGTGGTAGAGTGTCGGTCTGCAGACTGAAAGGTCCCAGGTTTGATTTCAGTCAAGGGCATGTACCTGGGTTGCGGGCACATCCCCAGTACGGGGTGTGCAGGAGGCAGCTGGTCGATGTTTCTCTCTCTCTGTAAAAAATCAATAAAATATATTAAAAAAAAAATATATATATATATCTAGGCCCTGGCCACATCACTCAATTGGTTAGACTGAATGCCAAGGTGGCGGGTCCAGTCTCCTGGTTAGGGCACATTCAACAAACAACCAATGAATGTCTAAGTGAGTGGAACAACAAATCGATGCTTTTCTCTCTAAAATCAATTTAAAAGAAAAGAGTACACATACTTAATATGTGTTGAGTGATTTCATGGGGTCAAATACAGTTGTAAGCACGTTATGTGTATCATTTCTTGGACTTCCTACAACAACTGTAAGAAATGAATCCTCTCTTTATCCCCATATTACAGATGAGGGAACAGAGGGACAGGAAAATGAGCACAGGGCCAGCAGCCAGCAGGGCCAGGGTTCCACACCCAGGCAGCTTAGTGCTGCCTCTATTCACCACTGGCCGCCAATGACCTTCAAACCCTCCCCCTGCCCCCCACCATCCCCAGAGCTGCCCTGCTGCTCAGAAGCAAAATTAAGGATCATAGAGGTGAGCGCTGAACCAGGAGGGGAGGGGCCCTAGGAGTCTCACAGGCCCGTTCTAAACAGAGACTTTTAAGGCAGGAAGGAGCCTCAAAAAGCAACAGGTCTGCCAGCCTGGTGGGGCTCAGGGCTTGAGCATGGGCCTATGAACCAGGAGGCCATGGTTCGATTCCAGGTCAGGGCACATGCCTGGGCTGTGGGCTTGATCCCCAGGGGTGGGGGTAGGGGTGGGAGGGTGTGTAGGAGGCAGCTGATTAGTGATTCTCTCATCATTGATGTTTCTCTCTCTCTCCCTCGCCCTTCCTCTCTGAAATCAATAACAAAATATATTTTTTTTAAAATTAACAGTTCTGACTTTCGTATTGCTCAGGCAGGAAAGTAAAGCTTGGAGAGGCAAAGGGCCAGTGTGGCCAGGCAGGGCCTCCTTGGCCAGCCTGGGGTCTCACTGGCTCCACACGGCTCCCAAGCTGGGTGGGCTGATGGGGGATGACAGCGGGGTTCAGAAGCAGGCCTGTGTCCTGGGAAAATCCATCCTCCCCTCCCAGCCCATAAGCACTGCAGGGGGCAGTGGTCTGCACACAGCATGGAGTCTCCTGCCTCAGCGGAGGGGGAGGAAGCCCAAGGGCCTTGCATTTCATGGAAGCAGAGATAACAACCCCTTCTCAAGGCTGCCTATAGGCTTGTGTGTGTGTGGGGGGGGGGCGGGGGAGGGAGAGGGGAGGGAGGCAGGGGGTTGGAGGGGCTGAGATCAGACAAGGGCCTTTCTTCTTCATTCCAGCTCCAGACAAAGGACCACCTGCTCCCTCCCCTCTCCTCTCCAGGGAGGGCTCCCTGCTGTTGTCCTAGTGACAGGGGCTGCCCAGAGGGCTCCCCAAGCCCCCCGCCCCCCAGGAGGCCTGCCAGGCCTGCCCCCAGCACATTACAGGCTCCAGACTGCAGAGGATGAGCTGGAATCAGGCCCAGCCTCCCTTCTCTGCCAAAACCCTACCTTTCAGTGCCAGGGCCAGACAGGCCAGACAATGGGGTCATCACTAACCTAATAATGAGGCCTCAGGGATGCAGGAGGCTGACTAGGGGGGAGGGAGAGGCAAGGGTGGGGTGGCTGCTTGGGCCCCACAAATGTACATAGAGCACCTTCTAATTCCCTTCCCCTCTACCCCCCTCCTTACCAAGAACCAGGGACGATGAGAACAAGAGCAGAGGCTGACAGTGGGCATAGGGCACAGGGCAGGTGGGAGGCCAAGAGAGGGAGACGAAGGGAGAAGAGACACAGAGAAAGCCTGGGAGAGGATGTGTAAAGGAAGGAGGTGGGTCCCGTTGCCCAGGAAGGCAGCTCAGAGCTTCTTAAGAGGCTGCAAGGAGCAAAGCAAAATCCCATTCTTGTCGCTGCCACTAACCGCTTTGTGTGCTTTCGGGTAGCCTGCTGGAGCCACGATCACCTGTCTGTCAGGCAGGGCCACATCCCCTCGGGTCATGGTGGGTTGGCACAAACACAGGCCAACGCTCTCCGGGACCCAGGGCCACACGGACTCGATGTCCAGCCCCCACTGCCCCATTCACGGCAAAGCAGGGAGCACTCTTCCTTCCAGGCCAGCTATGGGTGACGAGGACATTCCAGGCCGGTGGCTTGGAGGGAGCGTTTGGGGATACAAATCCTGCAAATGAAATTTCTTTGTTGACAGTGCACTCAAGGCCCCCAAAGCTCTCTGTCCCGGGAGTCCCAGGCCCTGCATTCACCCACTTCTGGCATGGGGATGCTCTCAGGGATGAGTCTGGGCCGAGGGTTGGAGGCAGCCTGACTGGGACTGGTGAATGAGGCTGTGAATGGTGAATGGACCGCAGGCAGGAGCCCAGCGGGGAGTCAGGAGTGGGGAGCATTCTGGCAGCCGGCTCCTGAATGGGGCTCAGTGCTGTGGAGTGGGGTGGGGGGCAAGGCCAAGCCCACATTCAGACGGGGGGGGGGGGGGAAGGAGATGCTGGCCCGGCAGAGGGGGAGACAGTGAGGGGCCACCCCCACTGCTCCCACCCACCTGCCTCAGCCTTGAAAAGAGCTGCTGTGGGGAGAGGCTCCAGGGGACTTTAATCCCACCAGCACCCAGCCCTCTGCCCCGTTAATCCTCTCAGTCGCCAGTTTTTCCAGCCTGGGGCCTCTGTACCTGCATCCTGACTCCCACCCAGACCCCTTCCTAGTGCACGTATGACCTAGGCTGGGGAAAGGACCCACCGAATTCCCTCTGCATTATTGTCATTATTGACTTCCGAGAGGAAGGAGAGGGAGAGAGAGAGCTAGAAACATCAATGATGAGAATCATTGGTCGGCTGCCTCCTACAGGCCCCCTATTGGGGATCCAGCCCATAACCCTTGTCTGGAATCGAACCTGGGACTCTTCAGTCTGCAAGCTGACACTCTATCCACTAACCAGTGTTTCCCAAAGTGTGGTACGTGTACCCCCAGGGGTACGGGAAGAGTTTGGTGGGGGTACGCGTTGCACCGGAATTGGGTGGGGATATGCACTGCACCGTGCTTAGCTGCGCCTAATTCTACGTTCTCATGAGTACGAGGGGTACTCGGTGTTACGG